TATATATATATATAAACCCACCAGAGCTGCTAGTAATGAATTCTCTGCATATTTCTTATTTATTATCTTCTCTTTTGGTTTTATTACAATAATGTGGAATCACAAGGAGCTATCAAAATGTCTTAGGAGACAAGTTTTATTGCAAGAATATATGTCTGGAAACTTTATACCTCAAGGCCAAAAGTTGTCAGAATTATCTAATATGAAAGAATTTCAAATAATCAGAGTGAGTATGTGATTTTCCTAGGAGAAAAGTGATTAAAAGTAGCCTTAAATATGTCAACCTAACCTGCGCATTGATTTAACCAAGAGAGTAGGAGCAACACCTGCAGGTAGTCTTAGGATCTTTGCAGGTATGCAACACAGCCTGGATCTGAGAGGCCTCCTTGTTCAGGAAGGCAGCTGTCACCAGGGAGGATGGACCAAAGGTCTCCTGCAGCATCTTCTGTGGAGAATAACCCAGAGGGACAGCATTGCCCCTGACGCTGCCATCTTCTTCCCTTGTAGGTCACAGGGAAGAAGAACAGCAATGGGGAGACAGAATTCCTCCCTGAGGACTTCAGAGATGGAGAGTATGAAGCTGCTGTAACCTTAGAGAAGCAAGAGGATCTGAAGACACTTCCAACCCACTCTTTGAGTGTGGGGGAGCAACAGTGGAAAAGGGAGAAGGAACGAGAGGCAGAGGTGAGGACCTTCTGTGGGATCCAGTAGTGTGGGGTTAGGGCTGAGGTGGGGATGCAGGTGCCAGGGAGAAAGGAGAGAAGAGAGAAACACAGTTAATGCCATCATTCCAAAGATGTGTGTTTACCACATTTTAACACATAGGAGGCAACATGGAACAAGTTTGGGAAAATAATTCTTTGACAGGACTATGACCTCTGGACTTTGAATCAATGATGTAATATGCTATGATCATGTTTGCCTGGAAGATAGACCATGCCCAGTGAATTCTGATGTCGTATACCATTCAGTCCATCTCAAACCAGGGTGTCCTCTTTTTCTCGATAATGTGGGTTTGTAGTCCATGGATCATTGTTTGACTGTGTCTGCTCTCTGTGTTAACACAACTTGTGTTGCTGGGTAAATTCTCATTATTTCCTAACACAGATAAAATATGAATAGTTAGCAATTGTCCCTGGGCAGTCTGTTTCAGAGGCCCTACTTAGTGGCCACCTGAAAAAGAATAGCATTGATATTTCCGAGCTTAATAGTGACGATCAGATTCTTTTGGATGACAAAAATGAATTTGTAAGCATGATTTTTAAAATTTGACAGAAACCTGAGACTTGTGATGATATTAATTACAGAATCATTACTTAGAGACTAGATAGTGTCTCTAATGAGACAAGGGCTGATTCTACAAGTAAGGAAAGTAAAGATGAAGACAATTTGCTGAAAATTAGATCCCAAATACTTGAAGACATTAAATCAAAGTCGCAGATTTATTTTAAGTTGAAAATTGTTTTGTTGTTGCTCAACTGTTCACATACTTGTAGCAGATCTTGTAGGTTCTTTTCAGACACCACCAGAATACTTGTCATTGAAACATCCTATTTTTGAAATCTGGATTTTTTTTTTTTTTTTTTTTTTTTTAGCTCAAAAAGAAAAAACTAGAACAGAGGTCAAAGCTTGAAAATCTAGAAGACCTTGAACTAATCATTCAACTGAAGAAAAGGAAAAAATACAGGAAAACAAAAGTTCCGGTTGTGAAAGAGACAGAACCGGAAATCATCGTAAGGGCCCTTGGGCTTTGTAGTATTTCTCCCCCTGTGTTGTGCTGGGGGAGGGGGAAATACCTGTCTGCAAAGCGTTTGATTGAATGTTGGAAAGCTCACGGTAACGGTCATCCTGGTTTTTTGGCTTTAGACAGAGCCTGTGGATGTGCCTAGGTTTCTGAAGGCTGCTCTGGAGAATAAACTGTCCGTGGTAGAAAAATTCTTGTCCGACAAGAACGATCCAGATGTCTGTGATGAGGTAAGTCTTCTACAAAACACTGCAAAATGCAGCTCATTAATTTTGTGTTTCTCACGCTTTACTGCAACCTTGCTAATACGGTGCCAAAGGTTTCCCTCCTGAAACAGTTTTCCCAGCTGTTGCCCCATATGCTTGTGTCAGAGGAGAGCACAGTGGTCCTGCCAACAAAATAAGCAAATAAGTATACATTCTGAATCAGTGCTCTGGATTGCATTGGTTGTCGCACTCACATACTTCTGGGTGATTTTTCAGTTTGTCTTTAACTGCTTAGACCTTTGGGATAGACTTTGAATAAAGCAGAGCTGACAAGTCATCTTTGGAGAAATATATCACTTTTGACTGAACCCAAACACATCAGCACTAGGCAGGGAATCTGAAGGTTAGAGTTCAGGGGCTAATTCTACTACTACTTTTTTTTTTTATTTCTTTTTTATTTTATTTTTAGGCTTTGCCATAGGGCATGTGCATTCACCAGAGAGAGACAGAGAGAGAGAGAGAGGAAAAGTGAGAAATCAACCCCCAAGGGGGGGGCCATGCCACAATCCCTTCTCTTCCACCCTCCTCCTGGGATTCTGGGCACACATGCACACATACCTGGCATGATTTTCAAGGTGCCAGGTTTGAGACTGGAACTGCAGTCGGTCATGTGGCAGTCCAATAACCTTAATTACCACACCACCTGCTGGACCCAGTTGTTTGATTTTTGGCAGCTGACTTGCATCCTCTGGACCTCAGTTGTCTTATTTGTAAACATAGGGTCTTTGTGTGATGTAATGCCTGAAGTTGCCCCAGCTCTAATAGTCTATGAATCCACTCACAAAAGCTAATTTCCCCAAAATCACTAATCCTTTTGTATTCCTTCCCCTATGAACTGAAATAGTCACTTCTCATCTTGAATTAAAACTGACTCTTCCATTCTCTTTTTAAAAAATGGAATAATTTTTGATAGTCAACCTAGCAACAGTCCCTGATGGAAGAAGACTGTCTGCTCTGCAACAGTAAATGCTACATGACCAAGGAAGGCACAAGATACCAAAAAAAAAAAAAAAAAAAAAAAAAAAAAAAGTCAGCACTTAGGTAGTTTTAGCCTTTAAGATTACATTTTTCAACATAGACCTTGGAGTACTTAGGAATGTATTTTTCAGGAAGTTTGACTTTGAGTTACAAGATTATTATTCTAATTCTGCAGCTGTAGTTAATGTTAGCATTTTTAATTCAAAAGAAGTCATCAAGTTTCTACGGATTAGGTCATCAGAGTCCCCTGCTTCAGACCTCTTAAGAGGATTCATGCCCATTTTTATTTACATTGCTATCTCTTCTGAAAATCTCTATTCTGACAGTATAAACGGACAGCTCTTCATAGAGCATGCCTGGAAGGACATTTGGCAATTGTGGAGAAGTTAATGGAAGCTGGAGCCCAGATTGAATTCCGCGATATGGTAAATATATTTCTTTGCTTGGAAATGAGCCAAAATAAGTAGACTACATAAAGCTTGAGAAAACCGACACTGAAAAACTGGGCTGATTGGACTGAAAATTGATCTGAGAGAAGCAGGCAAAAGCTCATTTCTTCATACAAAGGGAAGCTGGGAGATGGGTAGGTCACGTGGAAAGCATTTTCCACACATACTGAAAAGGAAAAGAGTGTTTCAGGGAAGAGAAGGAAGTGCAAGCTGTTGAACAAAATTCAAACTCTCCATCAGAGAACTGGGCCATTATCAAGTCGGTAGCATTACTAGGAAGTTATACAGTCGACACTGGCCTTTCAACACCCCTGCCCTTCCAGTCTACACTGCAGCCTGCCTGTGGCCCCTTGGCTGTCAGCAGTGTATTAACTCACTAGCAGCATGCTCCACGTGATAGATGCCGACTGCCATTGATGAGATTTGGGGCTAGACTGCATGTTAAATGGATTGCATATATGGAAAATAGTTGCTAGTCAGACCTCAATAACTCAACCACTGTGATTTCTACAAAGAGAAGTATACAGCATATTTTATGAACTGAAGATTGAGCTGGGAAAATACTTCACTTTTTAAAAATATGGCTTGGTGTGACCTTACAGCAAAGTGGAAAAAGAGCATAAAAAAAAAAAAAAAAAAAAAAAAAAAAAAGGACTTGGCCAAAATTGAATCCAAGGAAAGGAAGAAAGGAAGGAAGGAAGGAAAGAAAGGAAGGAAGACAGAAAAAATAAAGTTTGCATGGGAAGACACTAATATCAAGAGCTTAGGCTTTGGAAGGCCAGGGTTGTACCACAAGGTGCAGGAGGAAGGCAGTCCCCTGGGGGAGAGACCGCACTTTGCATAAGCACAAGTGACACTGCCCAGGTGCAGGGAGTGACAGCCAAGAACCAACAAGCGATGATGAAAGGGCAATGGGGATCCCAGATTAAAATATTTTAGAATTGACTACTTTTATTATACTATTTATTTATTTATTTTTTGCTATAGGGAATGTGTGCTTGCCAGAGATGAACAGAGAGAGAGAGAGAGAGAGAAAGAAGAGAGGGATGGTAAGAAATTACCTCCCTCTAAGAGAGATGGGAATGTCTCAATCCTTTCTCCTCTATTCTCCAAGTTTTGGGTGCACACACCTGGGCCCAGTGCGTTTTTCAAGCTGCCAGGTCTGGCACTTGAACTGCAAAATTGGTCATGTTGGGGTCCAGCTAGCTGACTTAGCCACCACGCCACTGGCTGGTCCCTATTGAAAATTTGAAAATAGGTGGAGTCTGGAAATTTGAGTAGAGTATATTTGGCAGAAGTGGTTAAAAGTTACAGGCCAATGTGAGATTAAATATCTATCCTGCCACTTACTGCTTCCTTGGGTGACACACTTGAACTTTCTAGAACCTTATTTTTCTTACCTGCAAAATGAGCAGAGTAGCACCTACCTTGCAATCTTACCAGGGGGACCAAGCCATCTAGGGTGTAGAGCACCATGTTGGCATGAGGAAATTCTCTTTAAATGGTAGTTCTTATTCTTAAAAAAAAAAAAAAAAAAAAAAAAGAAGGAAAGAAAGAAAGAAAAGTCTTTGCATACACATGCACCGACATGCCAGGGTCTCCTTCACATGGTCCTTTCTCCTTCCTGTGTAGCTGGAGTCCACCGCCATCCACTGGGCAAGCCGGGGAGGAAATCTGGATGTTTTAAAATTATTGCTGAACAAAGGAGCAAAAATCAGCGCCAGAGATAAGGTATTTCTCCTCCTCCTCTCTCCCTCCTTCTCTCCCTCCATCCCACCTGTTCCCTCTTCTGCTCTGCCTCCTTTTCCTCCACTTTCTAACCCCACCTGTGCATTGAAGTCATCTGGAAGCCCATGCCGTGGGAAGTCACCACAGTGACGACTTCTCATTGCACATGCCCTGGAGTCCGGGACAGCCTCTGTCCTCCGGCCCAGCCAATCAGCAGCACTTTCCAATTTTCCAGTTGCTCAGCACTGCGCTGCACGTGGCGGTGAGGACCGGCCACTACGAGTGCGCGGAGCACCTCATCGCCTGCGAGGCGGACCTCAACGCCAAAGACAGAGTGAGTAGCGGGGCAGGGGTGGACCTCTTGAGGCTTCGCTGCGTAGTTCTATGGACTGCTCCTCCCAGCTGGGCTGCTCTCACAGGACCCACTTCCGGCCTTCAGACCCACCTTTATCCTGTCTGCTCTGTTTCTCTAGGAGGGAGACACGCCCCTGCATGACGCTGTGAGACTGAATCGTTACAAGATGATCAGACTCCTCATTATGTATGGCGCCGACCTCAGTATCAAGAACTGTGTAAGTACTCGAAACAAGGGACTTCCTGATATTTAGAAGTTTGTCTTAAACTGTTGAAGATCTCCACAACGGTAGTGTTTGGGGGTCCTCTGAGAGTTTAAGTGCCTCTGCCTGTTTTGGCAAAGACACTGTGAACCTTAACAGGGACTTGGGCCATCTGGTCAGAGATGGGGAAAACCATCCTTACCATTAGGACTTCAGTGCTTAGCAATTCTTTTAAAAATTGGTCTAGGAAATAGAAGACAGGCACAGTTGCTCACCTTCACAAATACATAGGTTGAAGAAGTCCAATCTGCTTCCTCCATTTCTGGATAAGCCAGAACTGGGCTAGTCAGGAATACAGCATACTCCATTCCTGAAATGGTTTCAGATCCACAGTGGACAGGGCAGTCAATGAATCCCCAATCTGAGTAATTCAGAATGGCTGTTACCTTTACAGCAACATAGAATGTTACTACTTTCTTCTAAAGGTAGCATGCTTTTGCCTGTATTTTTCAGATATTTACCATCCACTTTTCAGTTTGGTCTGTCTGCACATTTCTCAGAATAATTTCCTATATTTAGGCCCTGAAAATTCTTGTATCAGTATGTATAAGGATGTATATTAATTTAATTTAACTTCATCTGTAAGCAGGGAATGTAACCAACTTTTCCTCATGGTCCCAATTCCCAGACCAACATCATCACATATAAGCTTTAAAAATATCACTGGAAGGATTGGGCATAAATTACTGAAGAAATTATCTTGGAGAATCACTTGATAAAAAAATGCAGAAAAGAAGAAACCCAGTCATCTTATAAATGCTAATAATTTCCTCTTCATATATGTGTTACTGTGAGACTAAGAGGCATATTTTATCATTTAACAAAATCCCTTGTTTGGTGACAGGAACAAAGATAAACAATAAAAGGAGACTGCTTAGGATAGGAAAGTGTTAACAGGGTTGGGTTTCCTTTTGCTAGATAATAGGGATTGGTCTTATCCAATAATTTTTAAAAATTATCAGAAAAAGAGCAGAGTCAATGAAATCTCCACAGCTGCAGAAAATATCAAACATTTTCTTTTTCAGGCAGTGATAGACTGCCAACAGAGATAAATATAAATATGGATTTTGGGGACTATGTACCTAGCCAGAAAATCTGGAGATAAATTTCAGTAGAAAGGAGTAAAAGGAATTTGTGGAAGAATAGCCCGAAATATATAAATAGAGTGGGCTCACAGCTCACTCTATGAACTAGACCTCAGCATAAGGATTCTGAAACTTTTTTAAAAAAGAATGATTTAGTTGTACTTATTATTATTATGGTTTTAAAATTTGCTCTAGGGCATGCATGCTTACCACAGAGAGAGAGAGGAAGGGAAGTGAGAGAGCACGCAGTCAGGTCCAGACTTGAACCAGTTTCTATGTGGGAGTCCAACACCTCAACCACCACACCATCTGCTGGCCCCTGGATTCTGGAATTATTAATGTCATTGACCCAATGGGTTGATGTTTCCTCAAAAGACCAACATGCTAGGGGGGACCTTCTTGAAGGGGACTAGAATGAACATACAATACTCTGTCATGTCCCAGTGTCATGCCTACTGCTGGATGTTACTCGAGAAAGATACTACAGAGGTGGTGATTATAGACCACTAACTTGAATACTCACAGGGCCAGGCAGATCACATAAATGGTTTAAATGGTGACTTCTGGTGTCTGTGCATGTAACTCTTTTAAAGGTGGTGGCTCCTCCCCACCCCAGTCCATTGCTGCTCTGAGAAACCATGGAAAAGAATGTTGTCAATTCTCAGAATTTTTTAAAAATGGATGTTAGGAATCCAGTTGGAAAATCTCTTTTTTCCCCAACCATTGCCAGTTAATTCCAACCTTTAAACAAACTAACAAAAACTCAGCTCTGTTTGGGCCCAAACAAAACAAGTCTTTAGACTGATTTGTACTGCAAAGTGCCGGTTTGCAAATCTCTGGGTTAAAACGATTCTTCTGCAAGGAGATAAAAATAAGTACTTCTATCTAAAGATAAGAATTGGGAAGCTTTAATTTTTGAAAATATCTTGAGACATGCTGAAAGGAAATAAAACTTTGCTCTAAAAAATTATTCATACATGTCATTGGTGTCAGCTCCAAGAAAAACAGGACCCCCTCCTCCAATGTAAATTCTAAGTTGTGCAAAATCTGCCCCAGGAGTTGAACAGTCCCGGAGCAGTGCCTGAGTGCTTCAGCCAAGGTGTTGAAGCAGCCCGTTTACCCTCAGGCCTAATCCATCAAGGAAGCATTTTCCCAGTAGATAGAAACTGCTTCTTGACCAAGAGGGATACTGCCACCTCCCAGAGTCTATTCTGTGGGGCACTGGACATGCATGGAGGCATCTTTTGAATTTTGAAATGATTTTATGGCTTAGTATCTAGGGACCAGGGAATTTACCAGTATCTGGGATAGTCTCACAGGAAAAAAAAAATGAATAAAATGCTACCTAAAATTAACAGAAACATCTTTGTGAGAAAAATAGCAAAGAGTTTGTTTGAATATAAACTACAAATGCTCATGGTGGAAGCTATCAAATGCTTTTGGTAACACACATCTATCCATGACCTCATTAAGATACACACAGAGGGATCGGGGCTGTATCAGCACATGCGACTCCCACCTGGATGTCAAGTTTCCTCATCTCTTTTACTTAGGCTGGGAAGACCCCGATGGATCTTGTGCTGCACTGGCAGAATGGAACCAAAGCAATATTCGACAGCCTCAAGGAGAACTCCTACAAAGCTTCTCGCATAGCTACATTCTAAGGAAATGACGGAGTCTTCCAGCAGTAGCTGTTCACTGGTACTTCGAAGGCACAGCCCCAAAGAAGAGCGCTTAGCCACAAAAGCCAGCTTCCGTTTCTCAAACTGTTGTGAAGATGTATCTCATGAAGATTCAAGAAAGCACAGGGCTTATAGGTATTTCCATTTTCTTTAGTGACGCACACTCCATTTTTATTTATTCCTATTTATTAACTTGGGAAAGGCTGATATTCAGACCTCTGTGAGCATCTATCTGGTGAGCAAAGCTTAATTTGCATGGAACACTTTCAGGACCTTCCCATAGATGATTCTTAAACCACGGGAATGAGCAGTGCTCTAAGTGTCCACTCCACTCACGTAAGCTAGTTCGAGACCGAGGTGATTCTAAAAGACAGAGGTGATTCTTGCAGCCCTCTTTCCTCCTGAATTTTTATTGCTGAAGTTTGAATGAAACAGTGGCAGGTATGGGGAAGTAGGAAAGGAGACAACAGAAAGTGATTCTGTGACAAGGACACAGGCCCATTTACCCCGGGCCAGATTTTGTTTGTGAAGTTGGGAAGGGTACCAAGGTGGGGAGACGTCAGGGGTATGAGCGTGGGGCACTAAGAATCGGCCGGCTGGGGCATGAAGAACTGGGTTTACTCAGAGATGAAAGGAAATGCAAACTGTACATGTGTAAATGTATATCATGTTGTATGTATATTTTATATTCATAATAAAAGCAAACAAACCCTAAGCCTCTAAGTCCTTGTATAAAGACAGTGAAAGGCCATTTAGGTTTTTTCACTGTCTCACAAGCTTTGCAGATTACAAACACATAAGGACGCTCTCAACTACCCTGTGCGATGGCATGCTCAGTAGGAGTACAGATCTGGAGATCGTGTCAAAATGCAGATTCTGGTCTGCCAGTCTCAGGTGGGACCTGGGGTTCTACTTTTCTGACAAGCTCTCAGGCCAGGCAGAGGCCCTGTAATGCCAAAATAGCACCCTGAGCAGTTAGCCTTATAAAAGGTGCAAAGACCGTTCTTAGAGCCCCAGTGATGTAGAGAAAGAGACCCCTGGTGGGCAGAATGATTACTGCAAGTTAAACTTAAGTTCCCATCAGGGCTTTGAAATAATCACAGGTTCAACAATTATCGTGGACAGTGTCTGGCAGAGTCAGAGGCCATGACAGAATGCACTGGGTCTATGATTTTTTGACCTCCACTGGAAGCTATTTGTTGCCAGGTGCTAAGATCTGTGGTAAGAAAACAGGTTGTCCTTGACCTTGTGGAATAAATGAATAGGAAAGAAATAATCATAAATAAATAGATGGTATCAATCTGTGAAGGAAAAACACAGGCGTGTCTAAGATGTGGAGGTTTATAATCTGATGAAGGAGGGAGGAGTTTCTCACAGATACGTCTTTGAGGTGGTGACCTGAAGGGTGAGTCCAAAAGATCAACAAGTTATTCAAGCATAGGGTCTTGCAGGCGGCAGGCAGAGCATAGACAAAGGCAAGGATATGGGAACATCTGACACTGAGGAAATACATAAAGGTCAAAGAAAGTGGGTGTGAAACACTAGCACTTGTGTCCCCCCAAAACCACTCTAAATGGGATCACGTTAACCTCTTGGACAAGCCTTTGACATTCCAGGGGTTCACAGGCTCAGGCCATCAACAGAGTCTTCCAGTTACCTAGTCATGGGCATATGGAGTTGTAAGGATGGTTTCAAATATGTTCGTATCTTTTCTGTCTAGTCTTTTACCAGTGTGTACTGTCTATCTCCTAGAGGCATTGGGAGTTTCATTGTGTTCTCTCTCTTCCTCCCAATCCCCTTTTGACACCTCTGCTTTCCTGCAAGGTAATGGGTCTAGCCCATCAAACCCTTACAGCTCAGGGTCCTTCCATTTCTTCCAAGTAAAGCACCTGCAATACAGACATTTCTTCTGCCAGTACTGATATCTCCCATGACACGGCTTGGCTGTGTTACCATGTGGCTTCCTTTATGATGTCTTTGTGAAGTCCTCCTCCCCAAAGGAGCTGGGAGGTGAAGGGAAGAAGGGAAATAGTTAAAAATATATATGTGGCAATTTTGCATTGTCATATATAAATATCTGCACTGGGGACCAGCAGGTGGTATGATAGTTAAGGTGCTGACACTCCCACATGGCTAACCATGGTTCGAGTCTTGGACCTGGTGGCTTGCTTTCTCACTTTCCCTGTCTTTCTCTCTGTGTCTCACTCTGGTCAACATTAAAATTAATAATAATAAAATAAAATAAATAATTCTTTAAAAAAATTGCACTAATAGTGAGGGAGAGGCCAAGATAGACAACATAGAATAAAAACCATTAGAAGACTAACGCTTCGTTATCTCTGCTAATGGAAAAGATCAACATTGAAGAGGAAACTCCAAGTTTCTATTGCACAAACAGTTGATTTTTTATAAGCTTCTTGATCTTCCACAGAGCCAAGCATTTGCCCAACAAAACTTCATCTTGTGCTCTCTTTCTCGGTAAAGGGCACATCCCATTGGCTGACAGACAGCCCCGGAAGTTGTTCTTGACCTCCTTTCCCTCACTGCTCCTTTCAGCTAACCACCAAGTCTTACCAGTTGTGCCTCCTCAGTAGCTCTGTAGTCTGCTCATGTCCTCCAGTCCCAGGTGCCTGTCCCCGAAGGAAATCACCATTACTTCTCATCTCGTTATCAAACATCCTCCCTGGGCTCCCTGCTCCAGGGTGACTTACCTCCAGTCTCTTTTTCAAGTTGCAGCCAGAGAGATTTTTCTAAAAGGCAAATCTGATCAAGTCTTTCCTCTTTAAAACCCTTCAATGGCTTCCCAAATCCCCCAGGATGAAATAAAAACTTCTTAAAAATATCTTATTTTAAAATTCTTGCCATAGGGCTGGTGCCACCGCGCCCTTATTTTAAAATTCTTCAAATCTGGTTGCTGTTAACTCTTTATTCTTATCTCTCATTACTTTCCTAGCCAAACTCTAAATACCAACTCTACTGAATTTTTAATTCCTTAAAAAAAAAAAAAACTGGGGCCTCTTGCTTTCCTGTTTTCCTGTACTGTGCCAGTTCCCTGGAAGGCTCTCCTTCCCATCTCAGCCCCAGCCCCCACTCCACTGTCTAACTCCTCAGCCCTCCTCTTATGTTTAGCTGCTTCCTACAGGAAGCCATCCTTGAGCCCTTAGATTTTGTTAGTTCCCTCCAGGTGTGTTTTCATTCTACTTTGTTTTTTTCCTGTCATAACATCTATCATATTTTACCTCTTTACACCCCCTGAAAAAATTCCCCCCTACTACTGAACAAGCAATACATACTTATTAAGAATTATGCCAACGAATACTGCAGACAGCCAACATCAGAACAATCCTAATTTCATGGCACCCTCTCTCATTATTTCTGCATGTATTACGTATGGGAGCGGTGCATTTAGTTTTATAACTTTTAACATTGAACACGTCATTCTAGTGTTCTTTTGTTTTAATGTACAATAGATCATTTAATGAATCCTGTTATTTGTGTCCATTTAGGTTTTTTTTTCTTATTTTAGACTCTGTTGCAGTGAATATGCTTATTCACATACCATTTACATCTACCCAGTTATTTCTGAATAAATTGATAGAAGTATCTATCAATAAGGCTGGTATCCAATCACACTCCTCTTCCACAAAATATTATTGCCTGTCCCCGCAATCTTGAAAATACTCATTTTATAATCTTTACAACCTGACCAGTTAAACAGATATATTTTGGGTGATTTTTTTCTGCAATGGCTAGGAAAGTTAAGCATCGTTATTGGGCACTTTTTCTTGTGCTCACCAAGGGGGGAAGAGAGAGAAATAGCAAGCACACCCTCAATGGGGCACGGTCATGCCACAATCCTTTTGCAGACACCTGCTATGTGGAATCCAGCTCCCAATATGTAGCGCTTAGCCACTGTGCTATGGGGCTGGCCTGTGGGAACTTAAAAAAAAAAAATTATTTGCCCACTTTTCTATTAAGGTAGGGCCTCTGGAAGCAGCACTTGAAATGAGGATTCTTATACAAGTGATTACTAAGAGCTCTGGAAGGGAATGAAGGAGCCAGGACAAGGCAGAAGAAAAGAGGCAAAGCTGTGATTTCAGGAACAGTCTATCCCAATCATGGGGTGCTGGAGCATAAACTGCACCCAGAGGTCAGAAGGTGTGGCTGTCATGCCCTGCCCCAAGTCATGAGAGGGTAAGACTTCTCAAGCTAATCTGGGTACTTGACTGCCAGCGACCAAGGGCAGTGCTCTGGGCAAGGGTGGAAATAAGGCATGAATAGCCGATGTCTGAAGCAGCGAGGGATAGGTATGCCAGTCACAAGATTAGTTAAGTGTGTATTTGTTTATTAAAAACAATTCCTTAGAAGCTAAGGATGCTAAACTTCTCTAGACTATGTATTGCAAATGTACTTTCCCAGTTGTTTGTACTCTCTTATTTATTTTTAAATATTTTTGCCTTGGGTATGTGCACTTACAGGGGAGAGACAGAGACAGTGAAAGTGAGAAATCATTTCCCAGAGGGGATGGCCACATCACAATCCCTTCTCCTGGGATCTTGGGCATGCACACACACACAGGCACCCAGCATCATTTTCAAGCCACCAGGTCTAAGACTTGAGCCATGGTTGGCCCTTGTGGGAGTCCAGTGACATAACTGTTACATCATTTGCTGGTCCCTGTTTGTATTATTCTAACAGAACATCTTACAGAAACTGACTTTTTAGTTTTCTACTTTTGATGATTACAATTAGGTGTTTTTCAATCTAAGTTTATCTTTCAAAAGCTTTACCCACATTTTTCTCTAGTATTTAGTTTTTTTTTTTTTTTTGTGGTTTTTGCTATAGGGCGTGTGCGCTCGCCAGAAAGACAGAGAGAGAGACACAGAGACAGAAAGCGAGAAATCACCCCCCAGGGGGGATGGTCACGCCGCAATCCCTTCTCCTCCATTCTCCTCTCGGGATCTTGGGCACGCACGCACACGCGCCCGGGGTGAGTTTTAAGCCACCGGGTCTGGGACGCGAACCGCGGTCGACTATGTGGGAGTCCAGCAACATAGCCATTATGCTAACTGCTGGTTCCCGTATTTAGGGTTTTTTTAAACTTACATTTTTATTACACCTGAATTTACTATGGATATGAGAAGAGGCATCTATATAATGGGCCCTGCTCTAAGTAAACTTCTACAAATATTAATCTACTTAACTCTTGCAATGCCAGAGGTAATGAAAAGAGATGAAGGGAGACACACAGAGGTCATGTAATTTGCCCAAGGTCACAGATTCTAATTTCTAGCAAGTCAAGATTTTACCATTAGTTTGTCTTTAGTCTGTGCTCTTAATAGGTATGCTATACTTGCCTCTCCCAAATGCTTTAATATCACTTATTGAAAAATCTCTTTTCTTTTTTATAACTAGGATATAATTCTGCCCCAGACTCCCTATTCTTCTTTGACATTTCTGAATTTCTCCACCAATTCACTTAAAAAATATTATAGGGCTCACCCATGGTCTGGTAGTCAAAGAAGCCAGATCCCTCAAGGCCAACTGTGGTTCCAATCCTAGCCCTGGCAGCTTGAAAAACAAACATGTTGGGCATATGTGCTCCAAATTCTGAGGAGATGGAGAGATGACTGTGGTGTAACCACACTCCATTGTGGGATGCTTTCTCCCATTCCCTCTCTCTGTCAAGTGCATGCACCCTCTGGCAGTAAAAAATATAGTCATAATAGGGCATGTGTGCTAGAGAGAGATTGAAAAGCACCCTCCCTCCACAGAGCATGGTCACACTTCCATTCCCCACCCTCACTGGGATCCTGGGTATGCATGCATGCACCCCATGTTTTCAGGCTGACTTGGCCAGGGACGTAACTTCCATCAGTATGTGTCTTCTAGCTCCACAGCCCAGTACTCTACTAGCTGCACTATAGAGGCTGGGCCAGCACTTAGACTTAATTACCACAGTTTTGTTGCATTGTATACTACTGAGCAGTACAAGTCCCTCCCATTAGCGTTTTTCTCCCACATTCCCTAGGTTTCTCATATTTACTCATTCAGACTACCGGGTCCCCCAAACAAACATACATGAGCAAGCAAAATATTTGTGGGCATTTTGATTTGTATTTTTAAAAATTCATAGTTAATTTGGGAGAGAATCTGATTTACAATATGTCTCATTCAGGAAAGCAGAATGTCTCTTTCCACATAGTCTAGTCTTAATTCCTTTTTATTCTTTCTAGTCCATTGTTTTCACTGAAAATTTTCTTCATAGAAGTCCTACATATTTCTAAGTAACTTAGGTCTTTGTGCAAAAGGTGCCACCGGGTCTGGGACGTGAACCGCGGTCGACTATGTGGGAGTCCAGCAACATAGCCATTACGCTAACTGCTGGTTCCCGTATTTAGGGTTTTTTTAAACTTACATTTTTATTACACCTGAATTTACTATGGATATGAGAAGAGGCATCTATATAATGGGCCCTGCTCTAAGTAAACTTCTACAAATATTAATCTACTTAACTCTTGCAATGCCAGAGGTAATGAAAAGAGATGAAGGGAGACACACAGAGGTCATGTAATTTGCCCAAGGTCACAGATTCTAATTTCTAGCAAGTCAAGATTTTACCATTAGTTTGTCTTTAGTCTGTGCTCTTAATAGGTATGCTATACTTGCCTCTCCCAAATGCTTTAATATCACTTATTGAAAAATCTCTTTTCTTTTTTATAACTAGGATATAATTCTGCCCCAGACTCCCTATTCTTCTTTGACATTTCTGAATTTCTCCACCAATTCACTTAAAAAATATTATAGGGCTCACCCATGGTCTGGTAGTCAAAGAAGCCAGATCCCTCAAGGCCAACTGTGGTTCCAATCCTAGCCCTGGCAGCTTGAAAAACAAACATGTTGGGCATATGTGCTCCAAATTCTGAGGAGATGGAGAGATGACTGTGGTGTAACCACACTCCATTGTGGGATGCTTTCTCCCATTCCCTCTCTCTGTCAAGTGCATGCACCCTCTGGCAGTAAAAAATATAGTCATAATAGGGCATGTGTGCTAGAGAGAGATTGAAAAGCACCCTCCCTCCACAGAGCATGGTCACACTTCCATTCCCCACCCTCACTGGGATCCTGGGTATGCATGCATGCACCCCATGTTTTCAGGCTGACTTGGCCAGGGACGTAACTTCCATCAGTATGTGTCTTCTAGCTCCACAGCCCAGTACTCTACTAGCTGCACTATAGAGGCTGGGCCAGCACTTAGACTTAATTACCACAGTTTTGTTGCATTGTATACTACTGAGCAGTACAAGTCCCTCCCATTAGCGTTTTTCTCCCACATTCCCTAGGTTTCTCATATTTACTCATTCAGACTACCGGGTCCCCCAAACAAACATACATGAGCAAGCAAAATATTTGTGGGCATTTTGATTTGTATTTTTAAAAATTCATAGTTAATTTGGGAGAGAATCTGATTTACAATATGTCTCATTCAGGAAAGCAGAATGTCTCTTTCCACATAGTCTAGTCTTAATTCCTTTTTATTCTTTCTAGTCCATTGTTTTCACTGAAAATTTTCTTCATAGAAGTCCTACATATTTCTAAGTAACTTAGGTCTTTGTGCAAAAGGTTCTCTTTTGATGTTATATTTTACTACTTACAGTTTGAGGCACTAAGGAGTTAGCCTGAGAAGAGCCCCTTACCAGAGCAACATGAATTCTGCTAAAATTGAAATAAGAACACTGAATTTGTGGTGAAGCTATCGTAGAATGGTGAAATCACTGATGATTTACGAAAACTTTAGTAGAGACAATGCCCCAAAGAAATGAGCATTTACAAATGAAGAACTTGTTTTAAGAAAGAATGAAATGATGTTGAAGGCGATGCATCCGTGGCGGATCATCCACTTCAATTTGTGAGAAAAAAATGAAGCTCGTTTGTGCTCTCATTAAAGAGGACTGGCTATCAACAGCAGAAACAGTAGCCAACATAAAGCCTGGTTCAACTAACACAATTCTGAGAAATCAGTTGACCAAACTTTCTGCTCAATGGGTGCCAAAACTGTTGTACCCAGATCAAGAGCAGAGCTTTCAATAGACAATTTAAACAGGTGGGATCAAGATCCTGAAGCATTGCTTTGAAGAAATGTAGCAGATGACACCTGGCTTTATCGGTATGATCCTGAAGACAAACCACAAACACTGGCCACCAACAGGTGGAAGTGGCGTAGCCAAAGCAAAGAGCAAATGTCATGGGAAGTGTTTTGGAATGCTCAAAGCATTTTGCTTTCTGGAGGGCCAAACAATAATAACGTCTGCTTATTAGAATGTTTTGAAAAAATTAGCTGATCTTCAGCAGAAAAATGCCCCATGGGAGCTTCATCAAAGAGTCCTTCTCACCACCACAATGCTCTTGCTCATTACTCTCATAAAATAAGGGTGATTTGTGAGTTTCAATGAGAAATCATCAGGCATGCATCTTATTGACCTGATTTGGCTCCTTCTGACTTTGTTTCCTATTCTGAAAAAATTTTTCAAAGAGCATCCATTTTTCTTCAGTTAATAATGTGAAGAATGGGACCAGCAGTTGGAGTAATGGCTATGTCGCTGGACTCCCATGTAGTTGACTGCAGTTCAAGTCCCTTACTTGGTGGCTTAAACTCACTCCAGGTGCGTGTGCGTGTGTGCCCGAGATCCTGAGAAAGAGAATGGAGAAGGGATTGCAGCATGGCCATCCCCCTGAGGGGTGATTTCTCGTTTCTGTCTCTTTGTCAAGTGCATGTACCCTATAGCAAAAAACTCTCAAAAAACAAACAAACAAACAAAAATACAATGTGAAGAAAAAAAGAGAAAAGATACAGCTCTGACGTGATTTAATCCCAGGAGCCTTAGTTCTTAAGTGATGGACTGAATGGCTGTATTACTGCTTACAAAAGCGTCTGGAACTTGGTGGAACATACATTGAGAAATAAAGTTTATATTTTTATCTTTTAATTCCATTTTTTCCACAAACTTTATGAAGTCGCCCTATAACATGAAAATTGAACAGATATTCTGAAAACATTTTGAACTTAAAATATGTAAATATCCACAGGAAAAATATATGTATACACATTTATTTGCATATGTACAATATTCTTCTATCTTTATTTTGCCACAGGCTTTTACTGTTATTTTTAAAAAGTGGATTTAAAATTTTATCAAGTGTCTTTTTGGTATCTATTAAAAATTGTCTGGTTTTGGGGCCAGCAGGTGGCATGGTAGTTAAGGTGCTGGACTCCCACATGGCTGACCATGGTTTGAGTCCCGAACCTGGTGGCTTGCTTTCTCACTTCCTCTTCCCTCTCCCTGGTCAAAATAAAATAAATAAATAAGATTAAATAAATTAACTATTTAAAAAGAGTTTTGGTTTTTTTTTCTCATTATACTTATTAATGTGATAAAGTATACTGTAATAAAAAGTAAAAGATCATAATATTCAGAACTGGAACATCTTTACATTCCTGAAATATGTCTTATCTGGTCATGCTGTTTTAATGGTTTCTTTTTACAAATATTTCATTTACACATCTATATTTATAAGTGAGATTGGCATGACACTCCTTAAATTATTATTTTTTTTTCCTTTAGAGGTTTCTGCTTTTGGGAGCATGTGCTTACCAGAGAGAGAGAGAAAGTGAGAAATCCCCTCCTCCCCGCCCCAAGAGGAGATGGCCATGTCCAATCCCTTCTCCTCCATTCTCTTCCTGGGATCTTGGGCATGCACATACACATGCCCAAAGTGAGTTTTAAGCCACAGGGTCGAGGACTTGAACTATGGTTGGGCGAGTCCAGTGACGTAACTGCTACACCATCTGCTGTCCCCCAAATCTTTCTTTTTAAAGTTATCTTTTCTCTGACTCTCAAACAGTGTTATTTTCCTCATTTAAAATAATTTTTCAATCACGCTTCTTGTTTTCTGATTTAAAAAATGTTTTAATTGTACCTCTTGTTTCACTTCACTTCACATGTGAGTGCATGCCCAAACTCCCCAGAGGTAACTGGAGGAGAAGGGACTGCGGTGTGGTCATCTCTTCTGGGGGGCGATTTCTCCCTTTTTGTCTCTCTGTCCCTCTCTGGCAAATGCATGTGCCCTATAGCAAGAAATCTCTCTTAAAAAAAGAGTATATTTAAATTCATTAAGCTGGTAACCTTTTAAAAAAAATGCTTCACTAGGTTTTGCTTGTTCTTTTAATAGCTTGAATATAAAACTGTTATTATAGACTATTGATTTCTATCTCCAAATGAAAACAGTAAACCCTGCAAAGATTTTATTTTGTTGTGGCTGAACTATAAAAGGGAAGAAGGCAGTGCGGATGGAGACTGGGCATTTCAACTCTCACACTTGGCTTTCTTGCAAGCTGGAAGAGATTCATCATCCCCTTCTGATGGCCGAGGTTTCTTCACTGTAGAAATAATTCCAAAAGCAGTTTTTCTAGTTTCTATAAAACAAACAGAGAAACCACAGTGCTTGAGGTTAAGATATATTTTTTTCTCTCTCTTTTTTTTTTTTTTTTGCCATAGGGCACATGTACTCACTGGAAAGAGACAGAGACAGAGAAATACTACCCCCTGCGGGATGGCCATGCTGCAATCTTTCCTCCTCCATTCTCCTCTCAGGATTTTGGGCAGGCACACACCCAGGTCTGGCATGTTTTCAAACCAGCTGCTGGATCCAGGACTTGAACTACAGAGTTGGCAATGTGGGATCCAGCACTTTAACCGCCATGCTACTGGCTGGTCCCAGGTTAAGACATAATTTAACAAACGGTAGCTTAATTAATGTCCCAGATTACTATGGCTCACAGCAGTAGTAAATGACAACACCATCACGAAGTGCTACGGGTGCTGATGTCATTTGTGTCATTACCTTCCTTCCCAACTTTCACAAATACCAGTATTTTATTAACAGCAGACTCACTCCTAAGGCTACCTCCAGGGGAAAACTGCAGGGCAGAGCTCTCTCTCCTCGTCTGACCATAGCGTCTTATGCTGACAGAACCAAGCCATGGACCCTGGTGTAGCAGATGCTTTACGTGAGAACAAAGAGAGATCCAGAGCAAGAACAGCTCACAACTGCGCTGCTCCTGTGGCGGCATGTGGGCTCACCTCGTTTTACAGCACAGCCCACCCTCTCCCTAGATCATCAGTGTACTGCTGGAGAATCAATCTCACTCTACTGTCAACACCAACCACGCTCTGGTTAGGTAACAGGTGTTCAATAAATACTTGTTGAGTGAATGAATAAAATCAAACTCACGTATGTATTGATCCCCTATCTACTAGAGACAATGGACAAAGGAAAATGGGAATGTTACTGATACATGCTCAGGTTGGCAGCTGACCTTAAATTTAGGCAACTTCTGCTAAAAACACAGGCTAGGCACTGTGTCATACACAGAGCGGGTACAAGGATCCATGACAGAAGCACTTTTTCCTACAAGACACTGAGATAGGCACATAAAGAAAGAACACATTTGATGCTCACTTCTGTATTGCAAACTATATTCATTCCATAAACAACAGAAAATAAAGCACAGAATGAAGGCGAGAAAGCCTGGCTGGGTATAGTATGGTTAGAACAGTTTGAGAAAAGATGACCCTAAAGGAACACTGCAGAGTAGGATAATCGAAACAGAGATGGCTCAGCCTTTGGACAAAAAATGCCTTGCTTCCGCCATGGCCATTCAGTTTTTACTGGAAAAATTCACTTACCTCCCTGGAGAATCGCTGCTCGGCAGTTGGTGGACACCGCGGCCTTGGCATCACTTTCAGAGAGCCCGAACAGCAGCCCTCTGGTACGGTCATTAAAGATTTCAACCCAGAGTCAGCCAAGGACATGAGACTAACACAATGCAACTGAACATGTCAGCTCCCCGCTCACACTGAGAGAGAGACTAATTCATTCTTCTTAGTCCAACGGAACAGGCGGCTGGGAAGAGACTTGGGTAACTAAGCTTTTATCACACGCCGTCGATAGTTTCCCTTTTTTAACCTCATGCTTAACCCAAAAAATACAGGAGAAAGAAGTTCTCTATGACCCAATAGATTTGTTTTTAAAGCTATTAGAAAATTCACAATAAAAGATTTAAGAAAAATATTATTTTAAACTATAACAGCATTTCGAATTCCAAATGTTTTCTTTTAAAAATATTTATTTAATTCTATTTGTTATTATTATTTTTTTACTTGACAAGAGAAGGAGAGAGGGAGAGAGAGAGAGAGCACACGTGCAAGTCCCAGATCCAAGACTTGAACTGTGGTTAGCCATGTGGGAGTCCAACACCTTAACCACCACACCACCTGCTAGCCTCACAAATTCCACATTTTCTAAAAAAAAAAAAAAGTCAACTTCTTACTCAGAAAAGGATACAAGTTTGCCACATCATATGGTCCTCTTATTTCTAAAGGCTAAAAAACAAAACAAAACAAAACAAAACAAAAAACCAGACATAAGAGAAGTTATTCATAACATTTCAGTGACTTCATTTGCAGTAAATAGGATACTTTAAGCATCCAAAATAAGAAAGTCAACTGCATAAATTTAAGTCCTTATAATTTTGATGAATTTAAGTTTTTGAAAATGTAAAAATTCTGAAAGCATTTTCTAATAGTATAAAGGAAAACTATTTATATTAACAAAATCTGAAGCTCAAAGGGGATAGGGATACATTTTATTCTTCTGGAATTGCAATGGACAAATGCAGTTAAAACAGGAAACACATAACAAACATTCATTACATTACTATTGTAATTTCTCACCTAGAAACTTCACTAAGTTTTATAACTTTCTTAAAAATTATTTTTGCCATGAGGTGCATATGCTGCTGGAGAGAGACAGAAAAAGTGAGAAATCACCCCCCTAAGGGGGATGGCCACACTGCAATCCTTTCTCCTTCATTCTCCTCTTGGAATTTTGGGAATGTACATGCACATGCCCGGCATGACTTTCAAGCCACCAGGTACAAGACTTGAACTATGATTGGCCATATGGGAGCCCAGCATCTTAACTACCACGCCACCTGCTGACCCCAAGTTTTATCACTTAAAAAGTGAAAACAAAGTAATTCATGCTTGACTTACCTTTTCTGCAGCACTAGATATAATTACGTTCTACAAAATAGAAAGTGATCAATATTAGTCTTAGAAAAATGTTGAAGAAATGGAAGAATCATATCAGACACATAACTAGTAATCATACTTTAACATTTGAGGCTGAAAAGACCAACTTCTTTTGAAGATGAGGTAAATCATTACAGTTAAAAAAAATTAAAGATCTCATGTCAAACTAAAGGCAGTTTATAGTAAGAACCATAAGAGGCTTTCCAAACAAATCTTTAAGATGAATTAAGTTTAAAAAACTAGTTGAAAAGGTCATATAACTTAATTCAACTCACTGATGGCAAATAGATTTTACTGGACTATTCACAAAAGACAAAGGATTTCAACACGTCTTTTGCCCCTTATAGAGCTCTTCCTTGATATGTTCCTTTTCCTTAACACTTGCAGAACCCACTGGAATGGGAGGCTTTATTCCTGTGCCTTGTACACTGTGTGCTTTAAGGAAAAGGAATCAGTTTGATAATTCCAGTGTGTTAATAATAATAAACTGCCAGATATGAAAAACATATTAAAATCATGGAGTGATACCTTTCCTTTGCAGACTTGCATCAAATTAAGGGCATTGGAAATTGTGTATCTTCTCATAGTGGAATCTTTGATAGCAGGGCTATAGACAAGTTCAAAGCCCAGGCCTCGGTCAATTGCCTTCACAGGAAATAAAAAAATAAACTGTCAAGGACAGACACACATGGTCCTACCTAATCTTCACTTAATCCCCTACCAGCTTCCTCCTTCTCCCTACCTCTCACTTCCTTTGTCAAGATATTGCCTTAAACAAAGGAAGATTCACACCCAAATGGCAGCATTAGTAAAGAGAAGTAGAGACCTGGGGCTCCACCTGATCTGCCAGTTTATCTTGGCTGTGGGGAGGCTGAATTGGTACAAATAGGGGCTAGGGAGAGCGAAATCCCAGTGGGGTGGCAGAAGGGCTGTTACTCCATGAACTGGCAGAAGAACAACACAGTGATGCTCCCTATGCACACTGTATGCACGTAGAGTAAGCCAAGTCATTTGACCCAAGAATGAAGAAAGAGACAAATAAATAAATAGCTGAAAACAGGCCGAAGAGTAGGGGTGGGATGGCCCTCAGGTAAGTCGTTTATTACAGACATGTTGATTGAGAGAATTATAGCAGCCAGGTTAATTGAGCACTGACTCTGCTAGATACTGTGCTAAGAGTATTACGGAGGCACTCAGCCCTTACAAGGGCTTCCTAAGGCTCTGAGGCAAAGACTATCTGTACAGATACCTGTTCCCTTTTTCTTTAGTAATTAAAGTCCCTGAGTTACAGCTGGGCCTGTGATTACCCAGCAAAAAAGATGGAAGAAACTCAGGCCTCTGTTGATTTTACCCAGCATACTATACGAGCTTAGCCTTTCCATGAGAAAAAGAAACTTATTTCATGTATTCTTAATACATAGGGACCCATAGGTAAGAAAGTCTGGGATGAGACTGAAATTGATGACTACACTGTCAGCTTCCCTGAAGAGTGACTAACAGATGGCTTATTGCTTAGTGAGGGAAACCATCAGATAATCATACCAAAAGTAAATATTATAAAACTTCAACTGTGACAAGAATGAGTGAGAAAGAGACTAAGTAGCTGAATGAGAGAGAAAGGAACATTTTGGGGGGACTCAGGTTTTGAGCATGGTAACATATGGACAAGGTCAAAGTCTGGGCAAGAAAGAACAAGGAGGAACCTAGGGTAGGAGTTAGGACAGGATGAGCCAATTGTCCAGGCCAGTAGGACTGGTGACAAGGATTAATCCTAACAGCAGAGAAACAGCTGAAGGAAATGAGTATGCAGGTGATAATCAGACTCACAATGTGAAAGTCACTCAGATTGTGAGGCCTTTTGAATGAACAAAGGAAGGACGGCAGGCATGGTCCATCAGAATGGTGCAACCCTCTGCCTGACAAGGGTTTCTTTTGCCCAGACAAGAAGTCAGGACCTGCCCAGCTGTGACTGCTGGAGGAGTACTCCTGAGTGCTTGCAGGGAATGGAGAAACGTGTCTTCCAGAACTATCTCCCTCACTCAATCCAATTCAGGTGTACTTTCCCTTCCCTGAACACAGATTTTTTCTTCCAGCCCCCAATCGTCCCTTTCCTTAACTTCTTCTCGGGCTTTATGGCGCTTACATTTTACTTTAGATTTCCCTACTTTTCTGATATTAGTTTATTTGGAATTTAAATACTATTTTCTCTTCCCTTTTTTGATGCTTTCTCCCACATCTAATTTTTTGGTTTGTGTAATATTTGGGATGACTTTTTTTTTTTGTTACTGCTTGTGCCACAGTGAAATGTTCACCTCATTCTTTCTGTCTAGCTTATACACTTCCTGGGAGCTGGCATCGTGACACCTCTGGGTAACACCTTTTACACAAAAAAGTGTGTAATGTATTTATATTTTGAGTGAATAAATAGTAGCTGATGAAAGAAAACAAGTCATGTGATAATGCTGTTCGCTATGGATTAGTCGTCCTAACGGGAATGAAGATGAACACGGCTCACTCAAATCCAGATACACAGACATCCCTTTTAGCTACACTATCAACTACCTCCTTTGCTTCTAGTTAGCCACAGGGGCTGACTTATATTTCTCTTCCTCAAGCTTCTGGTTCTGGAACTAAAACACAGGCATGAAGAAGAGGGGAAAGCAGCGATATGACCGATAGATCTGGGTGACAGATCTCAGAATATTCTTAATTGACTGGATCTAAATTTCTAGGGCCTTGAGGGGATCAAATCAAAATGAAAACTCCTTTTCGGGGAGAGAAAGAAAAGGACACAATTACTGGCTTAGTTATTTTTTTTAACAAAAAATTCTGATTTTGATCTTGGTACATTAATCAAGTTCACTTTAAAATTGCTAAGAAAATGCTTGAGAAGGAGAGATTAAAGATAAGATGCTATTGAAGGCTGTGAACATTTTCTCATAACACATTATTTTAAATTTTTAGACAGATAAAAATACAGCCCCATTACCTGGGCTCCTGCTTCTCAGAGCATTTTTATGCAAATTGCCTTAAGATAATGGCCTCTTCCTGAGAATGACAGTGCCTGCCTGATTGGCTTTTGTTCTCATGTCTGATCAATAGGTCTAAAATGAGGGGATGATCCGATTTTTTGACTAATCAGAAATAACAATCATAAAGATGCTACCAAGGGCAGGTGTGTGATACTTGAATCAAGAGACGCTGGCAATAAAATCCCAAGCACTAAGCAACACGTCAGAGAAGAAAATAGGGGCTGATTACTGGACAATGTACTGGTGCCTTGTTAATTCCAAGACTTAGTTCTTCATTAAATTCAAAAGGCAGCACTTTTTCAGCGTATTCATTCTTTAAGATACGTAATTTGTTCCCATCGTTTGCAAATCAAAGCAACATGGAACAACAGAAAGTATTGCTTGCATCTCTGCCCCCATCTGTCCTATTCCCAACCTCCCATAATCAATTTTGTTAATTTCTTGTGTCTTCCTCCAGAGATCCTTCATACAAATATAAGCAAATAGGAATATATATACTTTTTCCTCTTTCTTATCCAAAAGATATCCTGCTACATTCTTGTCCCGACCTGAAAGCTTTTTCACATAAGTTCAGAATTTCTCCTTCTGTTTTATGACTGCATAGAATTACAACATAGAGGCATAGCTGGTATCTAACCAAGTCTCTGCTGATAGACTTTGGGTTGTTTCAATATATCTGTAGAATAAATACTAAAGTGGGATTGTTGGCTACTGTGGATGGAATTGTGTTCCTATACATAAAAGATATGCTGAAGGCTTTGCCTTAAATATCTCAAAATACAACCTTATTTGGGGTTGGCTCCAATACAGAGTGGTTAAGCACTGTGCATTGGGAGCCGGATCCCACATGGCTAAATACAATTTAAATCCCAGCTCTGGAGGCTTAAAAAACATGCCAGGTTCATGAGTGTGTGAGTCCTAAATCCTGATGGGATGCAGAAATGGAGAAAAATGGGTTGCAGTATGATCACTCCCTACTGGGGAGGGGGTTCTCTCTCTCTCTCTGACAAGTGTGTACACCTTTGGCAAGAGATCAGAAAGATCTTAGGGGAAAAAAGACTCCAATTGGCAGAGATCAGAGTTGTGCAGCTGCAACCCAAGGGGCACTAAAGATTGCTAGCTAATCACCAAGAGGGAGAATTGCCTCCTATAGGTTTCAGGGGAAACATAATCCTATTGACCATGATTTGAGACTTACAGCTTCTAGAGCAGGGAGGCAATAAATATGTGTTATTTTAAGCCACCTAATACCTCCTTGTGGAATTTTGTTAGGGCAGACCTAGGAAACCAACACACTAGGTCAGAAGGTAGATGTATTTGTCATTTTAATGGCTGTGGCTTGCTTTCCCATGGTCTTATAACAAAAGAGTATTGCCAAGCAGGAGGTTTGGTTTTGTTTTGCTAAGGGGCACGTGCACTCCTTAGAAAGAGAGAGAGCCAGAGAGGAAAAAGCATCTCCCATGGGAATGGACTGTCATGCCACAATCCCTCTATTTTTCCCTTCTTTCAGGATTTGGGCAGGCACATACATGCACTTGGCATGTTTCTCAAGCTGCTGGGTAAGGGATTTCAACCATGTGGTCAGCCATGTAGGATCTGGGTACTTTAATCACCAGATCACAAAGCTGACCCATGGATAGGAGATTTTAATGTGAGTTTCTCTTAATAATAAATAGTGGATGTAAGTATCTTTTCATTAAAGATCTTTTGTATTTTCTTCTCTGTGAAATATCTTCTTATATAATTTATTTTTGTATTGCTCATCATTTTTTTTTAAGAGAGATTCTTGCTATAGGGCACACATGCTCACTGGTGAGAAATCACCCCTTAGGGGAGATGGCCACGCTGCAATCCCTTCTCCTCCATTCTCCTCTAGGGGTTCTGGGCACACATACATACATGCCTGGCATGAGTTTTAAGCAGCCAGGTCCAGGACTCGAACCATAGTTGACTATGTGGGAGTCAAGAAATGTAACCATTATGCCATCTGCTGGTCCCATGTATTGCTCATCATTTTTTAAGATTTTATTTAATATTTAATTGCCAGAGGGTATGTGTGCTCACCAGAGAGAGACAGAGAGGAGGGAAAAAACCCTCCCCAATAGTGCACGATCATGCTGCATGTTTTTCTTGTCCATTTCTCCATCCTGTTGGGATTTAAGCATGGATGCACACATGCTTGGCACATTCTTCAAACTGCTAGAGTCTAGACTTAAACCATGGTTGGCTATGTGGGATCTGACTCCCTTAACCACTAGGCCACAGGGCTGGCCCTTTTTGAATTTATTGATTTCTAGAAGCTCTTTATATAGAGGTATTAGCCTCTTGTTTATGACATGATGCAAGTACTAGATAGACAAAGTACAAGGAGACTTCAAAAACTTCATGGAAAAATGGAATTTAAAGTATCAGCCTATTTTGGTGTAAAAAAAAAACTTAAAAAATCCATGCACAGTTCTTTCATAATACATATTTTTCCATATGCTTTTTGAAGATCCCCTCATATTTATCATGTTTAGATTCAAAATTAGGTTTACAAAGAAATCATACATAAATCAAGTGATAACATGGCATGATTCCCAGAACTACCTCCCTGTGTTAGACATTATTTAC